GGTAATTGGTAACTAGGCAACGGGGTAAAGCATGGGAACGGGGAAACTATAAAACACCATGTAAGTTATGCCAAGCCAACCCTGGCTTTGTCTGTACCTACCTTACACTCTAGTAAACTTCTTTGCTGAACCTGCGTGTCACAAGAGTTTCATTGGAGCTGAACGGGGTAAACCTTACATTTAGAACCAAGATGTTCCCTCAAATATACTAGCTAATTTAGCTAAGCTCTTAAAACAACACAACTGTAGTTAACAAAATTTATTGATAGCATCCTCATTAAATCAAAATCTACAACTTATGGCATGTATTATCAGAGATACTTAGTCAGATGATTTAATATTGTATATATCTCTATAAGTACAATTATGTAATCCAATTTTTCTAAATGGCTTTTGCTGTTAGCTCTTACATCAGTCTTCTGAAGTGTTCCCAAAAGGATATGTTCAGTTTTCAATTCATAGCTTTATAAAACAATAAACAGAAAAGAAGCTGATTATTTATTTCTGTGGAATGCTAGCACATTATACGTAATCTTTAAGAATACAGAATATCTGTTAAATGTTAGTCATTTTTATGAACTAGTATGGTTTCTTAAGCATTTCAAAACAAGATCACAAAAATTATGTTTAGTATTTAGAAAAGGAAAATAAAGATTACCAAAATTAAATTCTATCTTTTTCGTGCACCAGTGTTTATTGTTATCTCAATTTAATATAGAGGCAACATAATTTGCTAGAAAAAAAATCTATGTTCTTGAATCATATATTAATTTATTTGTAACATCTTATAACTTTCTAAACACAATATATGTTTAAATATTTGTTGTTATCTATCTGATTAAAATCCATATATGAAGGTGAAATAAAAGTGAGATTAAAAATACCATGTATTTTTTTAAAATAACACTTTTAATAGCCTGAAGTGAATATAAGCCAAGTCTGTTGATTTTTCCCTGTGTTGCAATATGTGTGTATTTGCATGTTGTTTGTTGATAGTTTAGTTGATGTAGACTGCATCCTAGATATATTTTATATTCTGTAACAAACATAAGTTACTTATTAAATGTACTTGAAACATTATAGCCAGAGTGAGCAGTTGGACTTGTGGCAAAGTGCTCATGATATCCACAATGGTTTTGCAGGACCTGAAAAGGTCAGTAATGCCTGTGGGCAAAAAGATGGCGTGATGGACCAAAATCTCCTGAAATGGTATACAGCAGGATGAATTATGGATTATTTCTCAAGAGAGATAGCAAATCTTAAATCTCAGGAGTAAGGTTAGTAAGATTGTGTGAAATCTGATGATGTCTTAAGATTTTAGTCAGTTTTCATTTTTATTTTTTGGAGTCCTGTCAACTGAGAAGATCGTTGATCCTTTTATTATTGATATTATTAATATATCTTTGGATTCAAATTGTTTTGTGGTTTTTAAGTGAACTAATTCCTACTAGCCAGCTGTTTCACTTGAGTATTACTTCAGTATATTCTTCTGAGTCAATGGATATCTCCTAAATAATTTAATATTTATGAAGTGGCAAAATGTGAATTTTGGCAAAAGGTATTACTATATGGATTTTATGTTACACACACATCCCTACATACATACACCATAAAATGGTCAAATGCCTGACAACTGAAATATGGAGAGACTTTTAAACCTACTAATGGTTTTGCTGCAAATCTAACTGGGATTCTGACTAAACTGTAACTTCGAAAATGTATTCAAACTAAAAATAACATGTATTTTAGATAACTTTAGCATGTCATTGCAATTTCAAATATATCAGGATTTAGACATTATCATTATCATACCAACATTATACCAGCAAAATTGTCATGGCATTTGTTTTATTCACCTAAATGTTTCTATGATATTTAAAATATTTTCATAGTCTGCTATTAATAGTTTGAAAATCTGAGAAATACTATTTCGATGGCTATTGAGATTTGCTATATAAAAATAGTTTCTACATGCTACAAAATATATTGATTGGCTTCAGATGATTTACTGCATTTTCCAGTTAATTCTGTTTTCTTTTATAGTTGGCATTATTTTTTTGTTTGTTAGTTTTACTACCTCTTAAAATTATTAATAGAAGTAAGGATCAAGGTAGTTGTCATTGTCACTTCCTCTGGATTCGTGATCATGATTTTCATCTTGTTCTTCATGAACATCTTCTGCTTCTTCATATTCTTCTGGAGTTAGAAATCTTCGGAACACAGGGGTTCTCAATTGGGTTTGTTGATCTTTGCTAATTTTTTGTTCTCCATAATAAATGCTCCGTACATGTGGAAAGCAGAAGAATGCATAGGTGCTTATTGGAGCTGTAAGCTTGTTTTGGTCCACTCGTATATACGTTAAATGACTGAGGTTCAGCGGATCAATAGTGGGACACATTAAAGTAACGTTCATGACTGTAAAAAGACAAAAACAATGTTTGTTAAAGTAGAGATGTTCTTGCCGAATATTCCAAAATACTGTTTTCCTATTATGAGAGCAAAACTGATAACCAGAAATTTTCTATCATTGTTTACTTACTTAAACTGAAACTGATTTTTTCAATTTTTTCATTGTAGGTATTACTTTTCTTATTTAATCTTATCCTAAACATTAGTATTTGAAGTGTTAAAGTGAAATAAATTTTTAGCATTAATAATGCTGAGCTGAAATCCTAAATCCATTTACCTGGTGGTATGTTAAAGGTAAGGTAAGGTAAAGCTCTAGTGAATGTAATAAAACCTCTGTATAGTATATAGTGTATAGATGATAGAGAGGTATATATTATATAGAGAGATAATAGAGCGGTATATAGTGTATAGAGATTGCAGGTGTATATTATATAATTTGTAGTTTTTATATGTACTTGTGCTTTTTGGCATCTAATTCTCTAGGAGTTTTAATGTAAAATAATGAACGATTTTTAATCAGTTTTTCTTAAGATGTTCAGTTTTCTTCCATCTCTTATTTAACAAATGATTCCTGGTTCAACTGTATCTTACAGGAGCAAATAGGACTGAACTTCTGAGACATTGATGTTAAAATGTTTATATTCCCTACAAATGTCTACCTCTTATCATTCTGACTTATGGGTGAATCTAGAAGAACTTTTGACAGAGATAATTTTGAAATTATATGGAAATTGCTAAAAGTTAAAGCAATTATAATTGAAAGGTTTTAAATGCTCAAATATTGTTACAGGCATTTTCTTAGAAGAGGTTATCTTCTGTGGAAGAAAAAAAAATCTATTAAAGATGTAGTATTTCAAAGATTTAAGAGTCCATTACAAGCCATAAAGACATTAAAATGATGTTACATGTGTTACAATGTCATTGCACACAATGTGTGACTTTTGATACAAGTATGTAAATCACATCATTTGCACAATGACATCATAATATGTGTCATCATTTCCCCCCACTTGGCCCTCTTTTTAATGCCTGTGTAATGCACCTTTTTAATTAATGTAAAGCTCTTTTGATTAATTCATCTAACTTTGCAGAACTAGTTTGCACCCCTATTTAATTCAAAAGAAAGCGCATGACTTGCAATTTAAGAATTTTCTATAAAACAAATTGTTTACAGATGTTTATCATATTTATATTAAAAATAGTTTTTTAGAAAAGTGACTCTGAAGGTTCAATACCTATATAAGGAGGATTCCTATCTATGTTCCCTACTTGATAACATATGCCAGCAGCAAGGAGGGATTGAAAGGATTGTGCATGTTCAATAGAAGTCTGTATTTAACTTGAATAATGTGTATTTAAAAAAAAAAATTAAGGAGGTATCCTGATGAAATTTTTCTAGAGAAGAAGCCATAATAAGTGCTATTCTGGCTGAATATGACTTTTTCAGCCTGTGCCTGTCAAAACATGAGCTTCATTGGAGGTGAATGAAGGTGAGGTGAATCTACCATAGACTGTATGGTAATAATGCCTGTAGGTAGAAAGGTAGAATTATGTATCTGTATATAACTATGATACTTCAGGGGAAGGTTCACCCAGTATATCAGAGGAAGCTAATAAAGGACTTGAGTTCTCAGGTATCTAAGCTGGGAGAATTTCTAAGCTGTTTCCTTGTTCTGCTCTAATTAGTACTGATGGCAGATGTATGACACTAAAGTCAGATGAAGGAAATGGATGATGATGATGATGATGATGATGATGATGATGATGATGATGATGTTGATGATGTACCATTGATATAATGGATCTTAGTTTAGCAGATTTGGAAACAATGGACAAAGCCTGCATCTGGAATCACTTCAAAATAGTCCAGATGTATTTCTTTATTTATAGAAAAAAATAAAACAAGGGAAAAAAGATGACAAAAACTGGGCAACAACAAGAAACAAACCCACACTATCTAGAAGGGAGCTTCAGTACCCTCGCCAAAGGCTTGGGTTGAACAGTCAGGTCTTCAAGGCTCTCCAAAACACCAGCAAGGGGGAACCTCATTCCTGAGGACAAGCACTGCAACAGAGAAAGTACACTCCAGGGTCCCAATAGATGGCATTGTTTAATCAGTGGAACCCAGAGCATGCCAACCTTTCCAGATTGAATCAGTTGGGCAGATACTATGGGAGATAGACGGCCCCACAAGTAACCAGCACTATGCCATGTAGGGCTTTATAGGTAACAAGCAACACCTTGAAGAGTAATGTA